AAATTTTTGTTTTTATTTCTTTTTTTTTAAATATTTTTTTGGCCCCGCCTTTTGTTGTTGCTGTTGTTATTTGATCGCAACCAGAAACGAGTGGCGAGGGTAGAGGGCGGCGCCGCAACGGAGGCTGCCGGCCAAGGTCAGCGCGCTTCTCTCAGTCGCTCGAGCTGAATAATTAAGTGCGAAATAAATTAATTTCGGTAGAACTTTTTAGCATGCGTTGTGTGGCATTTTAGTCAACACACAACTCACACAGTTCACAGAGCACCGTAAAAATATGAAAATTTATCCATCTCGAATGGCAAACAAGAAATTATGGTTCCTAATAGATGGGCAAGGTCAAACCGAAGCATGGTCTCAAGGCCAAAAGTGCGTGGGATGGGGATAGGTATTCCATATTAAATAATAGTATTAAATATTTAAAGCCTCTTAGCAAATTAACGAAGGAATTGAATAATACTTATTTCTATTCTTTCTATATTTATTAAAAAAAAGTGATTTTATCGTCAATTCATTTTTTTGTTGAACTATGAATGGAACATGGTTGAAAATATATGCATGTATTAATATTCTTAATATATTAATTAATATAATAAAGATGACTTTTCTTAATGAACTGCTAATTGATAATATATAACTCCATTTAAATTTTTTGCGGAAACCTAAGGAACCTTTTTTTAGTTTTTAATCAATAACAATAATAAGGAAAAAAATAGTCTTTGTGGAAATTAAGAGGAACAGATTATTTCATGGTCATTATTTTCGAAATATGATTTAAAATATTGCGAATTTTTTTACCTAAAAAATGTCATTACACTTTGGAAAATTTGTTTCAAAAATTCTAGGAAAAGAAGGTGAACTGGAAAAGGTTTATTCCTCACCTTCACAAAAATTAGAGGGCACCCCGTGAGCAAGTGGCTCACACAACTCTATGTGAAAGTCGCAGCGTGAAAGTGAAAACTGTTTTAACTCTGGAAAATGTTGCACTGGCGCTGGCGCTCTGGAAACCCACTGACATCGATTCGACTGACTAGACCCAGGGAGAGGTAAAAAAAATCAGAACAAAATCGGCAGCTAATAATCGAGTAACCAAATGTTTGGGCAACTGGTGTGCCTGTTGCCTTTATGTCACAGCAATTAAATTATTTCAAGCGAGCACTTGAGAGGAAAACAAGTAAAAAAAAAACAAAAAAGGAAGCTAAGTTGGGGAAGCCGAAGTGTGTATACCCTAAGATCATAGGTTCGAATTTGCAATAGATTATAACAAAGACAAAAATGTTTTGAATTTTTGACAAATTTATAAAGTTTCAAAATTCAAATTAAAGTTTCAAATTGGTAAACTATTTTGTGCTAGTTTTTAAAGCGCTAACAAATCTGTATACTATGTTTTTAAATTTTAAAAATTCAATTTTCTTTTTCGAATTTTGAAAATTTTAAGTAACCCCTTATAAAATTCTAAAAAAATTTCAAAAATTAATTTTCCTCCAAACAGGACTAGATCGTTTCAGCTGTTGATGCTGATCAAGAACATATATGATTTAAGGGATCGGAAATAACTCCACTTCGTTTCATGCTTCTGACTGAAATTATAATACCCTGCAAGGGTATAATAAACACTAAAACAAATTATATTTATTTGCATTTATTTGCCATAACAAAAGCACACATACACTCGCACAGATGCATAAAAATAAAATGAAAATACAAATATACAATATTGAAACAAAACCCGAACGACCTTGAATGGCTCGCAAGCAAAACGGGCAAAATAGGAACATTAAAAGCGTTGAAATTAAAATATATATATATATATAAATTAACCGAAATGCAATTAAAGCCAGCAAAACAGATATAAATAAATATAAATAGAGACGGTGAGATGGCGGCGGTACAGAGCAACTGTTTTTTGTGTTTAGAACTTTAACTTTAAATTATTTATAAAGACCAGTTAAGCAAATAAAAAACATGACATGATCTTGATCTTGAAACATTCTTTTTTAGTAGAATATTTGAATACACTTTCAAAGAGAAAATGGTACAACTTATTTCTCCAGGAACACAAATTCTAAAATAGCAACAAAAATTTCATTTACTTATTATTCTTTAATTTTTCTGCTAAGGTTTTATTCATTATTATTTCATTATTATTATTATACTCTATTTATTTTTAGTTTAGAGTACAAACAAGACCACCTAACTTTGTTTTAAATTCCTCCTATTATGGAAAGTTTTTCTTGCTCATTTCTTTTGTTTGCGTCATTACTTTGAAAGAATAAAGCTTTTAAGCGGGAATTTGTACATGTACCAGAAAGGGTTAATATAATTAGTCAAGCTTTAAAATAAATCCACAAAAGGAAAAGGTTTCGATAAGAATTTACGCCATTTGTTATCTGAAGTAAACTTTATGACGACATACCAAATACGATAAAATTTGTTTATTTTTGCAGGAAAACAACTTATTACAGATGGAAATGTTTAATTTATGAATTTACAAAATACCTAATGACCTGCAAGTATTATTTTTACTTAGTTTGACTTAGTCTTTTATTGTCAAGTATTATGTTATTGTTATTTAAGGACCAATCATAAACATAACTAAGATTTACTTTTTATATATTTATATATAAAGTTGCTATTTAATTATTAAAATATATCTTTCATATTTGCCTAAGAAGCTGTCTATGCTTCTAAGAGCTAAAGCTTTTAAAATATTATTAAAGACAGTTAAACTAACTTTATGTTTAATTATAATGAGCTAAACAAATGTTAAAGGTTATAGAGCTTCAAAAAATATTTTTTTTAAATCTTCTTACCCTATAAAATAAACAAGACTTAGTACAAGGTAAATTGCTATAAGAATTTAAATTAAAAAATACTCTTTAAAAGACTTTTTCTAACTTTCATATAATAATGTTCCTATATTTTGTATTATTTATTGATTTATTTTACTTTATCTATCTCAGATCAATTAACAAGTTCCAATATATGCTATTTGGTAAATTCAAACCCGATTCTGCTTACTTGAGATAGCAGTTTGAATCCGTATCTGTATCTAAAGTATTTGTTTATAAAAAAAAGTATCTGCATTATTCATTGCTGACGTGCAATTCGACATAGAGGCCGAGACAGATGCAGCTGCCTGTTTTGGGTCATGATGACGTTCACACCGCAGCCGCGTGCCGGCTCCAAGTGGATTCCATGCTCAGTGCAATTTGTGCATGCGCCATGCAACTGCAACTGCAACGCCGGCATGAACGAGAGCAGAAACTCTGGGGCGACTGAGCGAAAAGTAATAATAATCGCGCCAAAAAAATAGCACATGGCAAAAAACTTGCAGGCGGGTGACTAAGTCAAGAGCAAAGCTACTGAGCCCCAAAGAGATCCAAAGAGTTGAGTAAACTAAGAGTTTTATTTCATTTTCAAAGAGAAAACGCTAAGAAAGCTTTGATTTTCCTTCTCTTTTTACGCTGTGGTGGAAATACAAATTTAAATGCATTTAAGAGTATTTTTTGTCGCAAAAAAAAACGTTACAAAAGCTTTTGCTGATGCCTTATATTTTTGGATTTATTTTAAAGGGAAATAGGGAGTTTTAATTTAAATAAACCTATAAAATAAACCTTACAAATGTGTATTAAAATAAATTTTTATTGTGTATACGACGTTGATATGTGAAAATATTAGCACTTAAACCTTTGTGCTTTAGTAAAATAATAATAATAATAGTCAAATCTTTATAGAAATTGTGTTCAATATTTGTTCAGCTGAAATAATAAGAAATATTTGCGAACTAAAAGGTTTCAAAAATTAATTAACATTTTATTAACCATTAGTATTAAATACTTATCAAACAAGAATAGTTTAAGGATCTAGGCATACAATTATAAATATATTTTAAATATCTGCAATATTTTCATTGACTTTCTTGTTGTTAATAATAAAGCTTTGGTTTCTGAGCTAACCTTTGAGCCAAATTTTAAAACAAATATTTTAATAATAGGAAATGCCAGCCTTATCTATCTTCAAAACGCTGATTTGTTTTTTTCCCCCCCATTGACAACCTTGAACTGGAGCAGATTCCTGTTCGACGATAAGTGGCGTCCACAGATAACCCCCTCACAATGCATCGGAGGAGGGGCGGGGCTCTCTGATACCAAATACCCAACCATTATCACATCTCGTGCTATCAAGTTTCGCTAGAATACAATAACGCATACAACTTATCTGGCAGATACGATTTCTTTTGTTTCTCCGCCAACGCCAACTGTACTATGTTCGGTGGCGCTGTTTTCGAATCACCACCCACCCCCGCCGGCGCAGTGCCTACCCACCCTATCCAACCCCCATCGCATTCTCCGATAGCGACGACGGCAATCGACGACCTTGACCGTGAAATTTAAATTTAGAAGCTACGGCTGTGGCGACGGCGGCTAAGACGTAAATAATAAAAAATACCCCACAAGCTTTGCGAAGCTATCTTTCGCGTGAGTATTAGTCATTCTGTGTGTGCCGGTAAATGCAAAAAAAAGGTAGAAAATATATAATAAAGAGTAAAAGCTGCGCTCTATCACAGGTAATACTTTCCCTTTGTTCCAGCCTTCCAAAACAAATGATTCAGTTTCAGATAAAGATTCAAAGGAAATTTGACCATTCCACGCGTTGCCTGCATGTGCAATTATGTAAATATTTATGTCCCGGCTAGAACACCTATTTTTAAATGACTGAACTTGCGTGCTGGCGCCGTCGGGACTTGGTCAATGATGTAAATCCATCTAATTACTCGAAATTAAGTGTATCGCTCGTTGGCGTTGGTTAGCAATTGCTAAAAATAATGCTTTCGTTTTCAGTTTGCTCTTGCGAGGATTCATTTAAAAATGCCGCCAATAACAAGTGTTGGTAAGCGATAACAGTTGAACCCACACCGATGTTTGTTATCGGTATCGGTTTGGATGATGAACCGTTTGGCAAATTACTTAAAATACCACACATGTTTTTAGGATTCTTTGGTATTTTCATTTAAAATGTGTATAAACTCCACCGAAAACACTTGTTTTGGTTTTAATTCAACAATTTAATATAAGAATTGTAATTATTTACCTGCAATAAATCGTTAAAGTGATAATTGCAACTTAATTAAGAGCAAACAAGGACTTATATGAGTATAGTTAGAGAAACCAGAACTTAAATCCAACAACAAGCCGGCTTTTGCAGCACGTGGAGCACGTGGAAAAGATTGTTTATTCTAGAATCTTTGGGATTTCATCACAAGGACATTTGTGATAATGGTTGCCGAGGCTTTCAGTGAATTTTACATATGCAACTTTAATGATCAAGTGGCTGCAGAGGGTGAGTATTACCTAAAATAATAAATAAAACATAAATAATAGTTGTTATCCATTAGATCTGCCCGCCGATGAAGCACTGCGTCAGCTGTGGACTCGCCAGGACCTGTGGACAGTGGAGGATCTGCGAGAGATCCTTCAACGCTGGCGGGATAATGGAAAAACAAACCTAAGGGACTTTCTTTGCCTTATCTTTGCCTTTGTTCAGAATAACTTCACTGGACCGTTCGACAAGGCAGTCGAATGCCAGCTAAGCCTCGACCTGGAACTAGATGCATCGGAGAAGCTAAAGGCCAGTGGCGAGGAGCTCAATCCCAATGTTAAGACAGCAGAACTCCTGCTGATGGCCCGGGAAATACTTGATGGATTGCAACAAACACATCCCAACTCAATGGTCTTGACCTGGTGGCGCTTGCGGCTGATCTGTCTGCACCAACATGTCCTGGACGACCTGGCGGCTGAGCTGTACGAGCAATTTAAAAAGGCAGCTGTGCTGCTTCAGTCCCAAATAGATCAGTTCGAAAGCAGGGAGCTGCAAGCTCTGCTGCTGCTGGAGCTGGCCAACGGTTATCTGCAGTTCCACCGCTCCGACACGGCCTCCCAGCTGCTGGATCAGCTCTGCACACACCTGCAAGTGGAACTCAAGGTCGAGGGTTTACTGGGTGTGCGCACCAAGTTCCAGCAGAAGGCTCTCCCGCAGCTCTGCCTTAAAGTGGAGCAGCTGAAGGAACGGGAAGTCCTGACTCCTGCCACCAAGACGAATGAGAAGACACAGCTACCTAAGTTGCTGCTCTTGGAAGATGACACGAGATTGGAACGGATACGCTTTGTTGAGCCGAAGGACAATGAAGTGATGACACTGCCCAGCGTGCTGCAAGCTCTTGTGCTGGCCAAGGTGTGAGTAAGGTCTCTGATTAACGAACTATACTTATTATTCCCTTTATTCGTCTCCTAGAAAACAACTGAAACGTTCACAACCCAAGGATCGCTTGGCGGACGAGCAGCTGGAGCCTTATACCCAAACGCTCCTTTACCAAGAGCACGGACCGCTCCAAGTACGCCAGGCAGCCCTTCTCCTAAACTGCCTGCAGGAATCGGGACAGCGCAGAACAGTTGAACGAAGTTGGAAGCAGTGCGAAGAGTGCGTAAAGCTACTAGACCGCTCCGAAGAGGAACTATCCCTTCGTTCTAGGCTTTCATATGGCTTCGCCGCCCATCTGCAGCCCAAGTGGCAAGTGCAGCTGCAACTGGTGGACCTACTACGCTCCCTGGGCATGACCAAGACCGCGCTGGATATTTGCCTGAAGATTCACGCCTGGCAGCAGGTCATCGAGTGTTACACCAGTCTGGAGTTGCGGCATAAGGCGGCGGAAATCATCCGGCAGGAGCTGGAGAAAAAGCCAACGGCTTTGCTATACTGTCTTCTCGGCGACGCAATCGATGATCCGCAGTGCTACGAGCAGGCCTGGATCTACTCCAAAAAGACCAGCGGAAAGGCCAAAGCCTATTGGGGCAATTACTTCTACAGAAGGGCAGAATACGAGCAGGCTATGGAGCATTTTGAGGTGTCATTGGAGATCAACACGCTGCAGGAGGCGATCTTGCTGCGATGCGGATACTGCGCCATTCAGCTAGAGCGATGGGAGGCTGCCGTTAAATGGTATCTAGCCTACACCCACCTGGAACCGAACGGATTTGAGTCCTGGAACAATCTAGCCAAGGCTCTGATTAAGTTGGGCGACAAACAACGAGCCCATCGCGTCCTAGGCGAAGCCCTCAAGTGCAACTACAGCAACTGGAAGGTGTGGGAGAATTACATGCTGGTAGCCGTGGATACGTCTCACTGGGAGGATGCCATGCGAGCATATCAGCGTCTGACGGAGCTAAAGCAGCACTACCTCGACCAGGAAGTGCTCACCCGAATTGTCTACGGCATTTCCAAGGAGGATCCTGCGGGTTCTAGTGCGCTTATCAAACGTCTCGTCAAGCTGCTGGGATTGCAGAGCATTCAGCATGGAAATGAGCCTCTTGTTTGGGAACTGGCTGCCTTAGTGGCTTCAACGCCACTGAAAAAAGCCGAGAAGCTTGTCAAATCATATCGGGCTTACACACCCAAGCATTTGGGTTGGGAAACTAAATCGGAGCATGCCCTAAAGGCTCTTGATCTCTGCCTGGAGGTCGCAGAACTATCAATGGCGGCTATTAAAGAGCACAACGAGGATGAGAGTGAGGTGATGATTACATCGCAGCTGAATTCCGCCAGATTGGCGGGCACATCATGTCTAAATGCTTTGAAAAAGGTTATCAACGTGGAAGTGCCGGAGGAGCAGACGCAGAAGGTGGAAGAGCTGGAAAAACAGATCGCAGATCTAACCAAAATAGTTCAAGAGCGAATGAGTGCGCCGCGTTCGTAGTTCTAAACTACAATCGACATTTTTTCGATTTCATTAAATGATTTTTTAATAGAAAGTATTGTTTATAAATGGCTGGGGTCAGCAAGCTTCCATAAAAGAATCCATAGCCTTTGATCTTATAACCAGAGCATCATACAAGAAAAAGAGTACATATAGTGAGTAAAGTTAAGGTGCTTAAGTTTATTTTGATTTAATAATCAAAGATCTGTCCATTGATTTATGTGTATCTCAGCTCACTTAGGTGACTAGCTACCCCAGTAGTTGGTGCAATTATATTGAGAAAAATATAAATCTATTTGCATCTACCCATGAACCGATATCACAAGCATTAAGCGTCTTTGTTGATTTTAAATTCCTTAATATGTGTTCAGCTTGGTGGTGATCAGGACCCGAACACTCTGATCAAATGATCCGCATACGGCTAGGCCGAGCTTATCCGGGTGCCAATCAAAACAGTGAACGGGCTGAGTGCTCAGAGTTGCCGCACTGACCATGTGCATCGTCCCAGCCACACCGGTTTTGTTGCCATCCGAATCATCGATGACCCTCTTGGCGGGATACTCATAGTCCCACAGACGAATGGAGCCGGTTCCTCCGCCAGTCAGAAATAGATCTCTATTCTGGGGCAAATGACGAACCACCCATACCGTGGCCTTTGGTCCGCTGATCACTCCATTTGAGCCAACACTACGCCCCGCATTGCGCTCCTCCACGTAGCTGAATCCCTTGGTCGGGTGTTGGGTCCGCATGTCGAAGACCAGAAGTCCCCCCTCCAGAGTAGTCACTGCCAGCTTGTTCATCGGGATGTCTCGGCGATCGAATTCCAGGCCGCAAATGCCATTCTTCATGGTGGCCTCCCAGCGCACGGAGAGGGATCGTAGATCAAAGATCTTCAGATCCCCGTTGTCGTAACCAGCAGCCACGATTCGCTCATCGGCATTGTACGTATTTCCAAAGGCCACGGCCCAGCAATCTCGGCGAGAGCTGCTCTGGTTCACCCCATCGCCCATTTGAGGCGGCGGCGACATATCCACCACCGGGGCCTGCCCTTGACGGATGTCCCAGACCTTCACAGCTCCATCCCGGCTGCCTGTCACAATCTCGGGAGCTCCACAATCGATCTGCGTGCCTCCGATGGCATCAATGGTGTTGATTATGGCACTGTGGGCCTTGACATTATAGACCGGCAGGTCCGGTTGCTCCAGATCCCTGAAAAATTGAGTAAGCCAAAGTATATTTCGAGCTTTTTCTCATGAAAATGTATAATTTCTTACAGCACTTGGAGCCTGCCCTCGAAATCGCCGATGGCCATGTGACGGTTCCTCAGCGAAGCTGCTCCGAAGGTGCCACACTTGAAGGCCACCTTCTTCTCCACAGACTTCACCTTCTCCAACTTATCCTTGTTCAGCTCGTAGATGTCCATGATGCCGTGGCCGTTCGCCTTGGAGCCGAGCACCACGAACTTCGCGGACAGCGGCACCCATTTGGTATCGTAGACGGTGTAATTGACCGACTCGTGGAGGTGCTCGATCAATTGAGGCTTGTCCATGCCGAAAATCTCTTATTTGGACCTTATAATCAAAGTGGTAAGTGAAAAATGAAGGTATTATCGGAAGCAACTTGTTTTGTTGTCATGACTTCGCTCTTCCTCTTGTTTGCCGGTAGGCAGAGCTGCCGCTTGTTACTTTCAACAGAAAAGGGCTGCCAACCTGTTTTTAAACCACTTTATAAATGTTAAAAATAATAATTCAGCCACAAAGAAGTTAATTTGTATAAAATAAGGTTTTGGAAAGCTGATATGTGTTTTAAACAGTTATTGGGAATTAGTTTCTAAACTCTGATTTCCACAAAACCACCGTTTGCCGTAAACAGCTGAACTCCACATGGGCGTATGCATCAATTTATACAGAGGGCTTATAACCGATCAAAAGGTTTTTAAAATAGCTTCTTTAATATCATTTCTATTAAATTGATATTATGAAACCCGAAATTATGGTTCATATAATAATTCATAGAATACTAAACTAAATTACTGATAATGCATTAAAGGGGCACAGTTTGACCCCCGGAACCCTCCCGCATGGCTGCCTACGTCCTTTGCTCACAGCTGATGCAATAAGCAACGCCTCGATTGCGCCCGAAATTTTGAAAAGAAGAAGAAACTGGCGAATTGTGCAGTTTTATTTATGACAATTAGGAGGTAGTTTTAATATATTATTTACATGTCGTCGTCATTTGTGTCAGTCAAAAGCTGAATTAACAGTGAATGCAATCGGTCCTGCGACCTAGCAATGTACTTTAGGACCTTAAGCTGGGCTCGTCGGTGCTCTCTATTGAATATCTGCTCCTCCCTCTGTATTTGTAGTTGTTCCCGCGCTATAACGAGCAGCTCGGACTGGGGGTCAACATTGGTCTCGGTCTCGGCGTCATCCAAAGATATTTCAAAATCATCTGCAAATAATTTAAATTAATACGTTGCAAAGCAAAAAATATTCCATTTAACTGACCCTCGGCTAATTCCTCTTTGACAGTCTCTCGACTTGATGGTCTGCCTGGTTTTACATCGCTCAATATGGAGTGAATTTTTCAAAATGCCGCCATCTAGAAGGACTTCCTTGGTTGGACATGACTTTCTCCTTCTCTATCCTTTAATAGCATGGAAATTATATGAAAATGTGCGTTTCAAAAGGTAAGGAACACTTACCTGTACTTTCGGGTTAGGTTCTCAAGCTTGTTCCGTACATCAGTCCATATAACGGCTAAGCCTGCAGCTGTTATTCTCTCAGCCATGTCTTTGTATATAAGGCGTCTTTTGCGCGCCCCAAAGTAGTCATCTATATATTCCTCCCAGAGATCTACTACCAGCTGCTCCATCTCCTTTGACCATCGGATTCGGAAATGGTGGTTCAGCCTTTTTGCTGTAAAATATTTCTGATTAAATGAACCAATTTAATATATTTGATAACCAACTTACTGCTGTTCGCCTCTTCCTCTGCCGAGTCCATTTTCCGCATTGTTTACGTTTTCGAATCGCTAGATAGTGCTGCACAATGCAGCTATCGATTAAATACCGCTTGCAGAGACGATCCGATATTTGCCATCTGAAATTGATGGGAAAATAGCTGAAATGGAAACAACAAAAAGAGGATTGCTCCTTGGAAAGCTCAGCTTAAACTAATGTTTCTTTTTTTTCTGTTTTAATTTAAAAATAAATAAAAATAATATCTGTTATATATAGGAAATGTAAAACAAAAATTGTAGAACTTATTCGATTGCCATAAAACGGTTTGGCTACTTTTGGCTTTTTTCTATTGTCACCACTAGCAAAAATTCAGCTGTTCCGAACTCAAATTTTTAAATTTCATCGCAAATCGATTTGCTTACATAAATTAGAATAGAACGAAAGAATTTAACCATTAAAAATAAGTAATAAGGAATAGTATGAACAATATCTATGGCGTATAAACTTGATATGATAATTTCCGATTAGGGATTCCGATTCCGATTAACAACAAACAGCTGTTGAAAGCTTTCTTATGGGAAAGCTCATCCGGCCTGTCAGTTTTGCGTTTTTTTCCCAACTGGGTCAGTCGAACGCTGTTTTCCTCATCGTCCGCTGTCGCGGCCTTTGCTTAACTTAACTTATTTCCTTTTGGCGCGAGCATCTTTTTTTGGCGTTCGACCCCTTCGACTGGCAACAGCAACAACAACTGCAGCCACAACATCAACAACAACTATAGCGACGACAAAGTTTTACGTGTGTGTCGCAAGCGACGCTTTTGGTATTAGAAAAACATCGAGCGTGTGCGGTTAAATAAGCGAAAATTAATATAAAAATATAAATAACGGAAGATTCGCCAACAATAATAGTTCATTAATATTTTATTTAACATCAATTTGCAAGCTTTTAACAAGTTTTATAGACGTGATAACTGTGTTGGCAGAATAGCAAACAAATAAAGAGTGCTTGAAGCTCAATCAATTCTCGATGCATGCGCCAGAAAAGTGTTAATCATATATTTTCTACTGGCAACAAGTGATACCGTTACAAAAGCAACAACCATTCAACAACGGCGGGCGCTATCAAGAGTTGAAGGTGACAAGAAATAACAAGCAACAATAACAACCACAACAACAACAACAACAACAGCTGTACTTGTTTGGCAACGAAACGAATGCCAACAAAAATTAATTTGGTTTTCTTAAGGTAAAATACCAACGAGGATTCTTAAATTCTTTTGTTTGTTTAGTACATATATTATTTCTCTTATTGCCAAACGGTATTCGTCTTCTTTCTTCCGCTTGCCTTTCGATTTCTCGTCAATTTCGGGACAATCAAATTAATTATTATTTCAGCTTTTTCATTGCCTTTATTGTTTTTATTTTCTCTTCTGTTTCTCTTTCCCCATCATCCCTTCCCACTCTTGTGTTCTTAATGGGTGCATTTGCACTTGACTCACAGGCATAGGTTGTACAGTGCACCCCCCCAAAGAGTGAACTTGCATTGAGTGCTAGAGTTATTATTTTAGTACAAAAATAATTTAGTTATAATTTATTTTAGATAGAGAAAGTTTTAAGCTTTCTGAAATCAATCATAAATAATAGGATCAACTCCGGAATCGTTCATAACTAAGCTTTAATTACTCTCATTCTAGAATACATTTAGTTTCTTTCTTTTCTCTCTTATGCAGTCTTCAATTTCAACTGATATTAACATTATTTAGAGTTGCTTTTATTGGGTAACTCCTTTATAAAATTTGAATCGTTTTTATAAAAATTTTTTTATGGAAAGTCTTTTTATTGGTTGACCTTTTAGAGCGTGCACAGTATATAGTACATGGTGTGATTTCATGGTTAGTATACTATACTATATATACTATATACTATGTACTACATTAGCTGTACACTGTTCATATGTATCCGGCTATGTCGTTCTTCCGATTTGGCGATTTTTTTTTCCAACCTGTCGCGTCGCTCGTTGAGAATATACATATACCCTATACATATTTGGTACTGTTGATAAGCCGACGCTCTGGAAAGAACAAATAGTGGAATGGCGCTTAATTGGTTTTGCTTTATTTTTGTCTAAACAAAAGTGTTGAAGATTATGCAATTAGCCGTCTGAAGGCTTAAGTACTTAGTGCATGTTATTGACAATAACTATAAACAAAATGTACAAAGGGTAGAAACCGAATAGGAAAATATTAAATTTATTATATTGATGCTTCGATTTGCTTCGAGTTTTTACACAATATAATCATACGTACTTTTAAAATTACCTTTTATTTTATTAACTTTTGATTAACTTACCAATTTAAGCGCAGCAAAAATGCAGAAAGTACTTTAAACAAGTTTAAAGTTAATCACAATCTGATTATTTCAACATTATCAGTCATACGTGAGTTGTAAAGATTGCCAATAATCGAGGCCATAAACACAAAAACTCTCCAATTTCACACCTGTTGTGGGTCAATCTTTATGAAAACGCTGCTTTTCTTCCGAGTTTGGGTCTTAAAAGTTGTATAATTTTATAGCATTGCCATGATAATTGTAAAAACTATTATTTTACAATGGCAAAAACCCGGAAATTGTGCCTGGGCTGGATTAAAGGATTTCTGATATCACTTTAAAATAATTTTTCAATGGAATTTAATACCCTGTGAAACAATATTGAAAAGAGGTTAATTTAAAAAAAGGGTTGTTTTTAAATTAATTAACTTAATGCTGATGATTATGGCATTCAACTGAAAAATATATTCATAGTAAGTTTCGACTACGTCTTTGACTTTGAAAGTGGCTAAACAATAACTATGGACTCACAAAACATTAAATTCATTATTAATAAGGCATTTAGATAAAAAAATTTAAACAAAATACGTATAGGGAAACTATTTTCTTCCGACTCCTACTCTGCTGTGTACATACAGTTTTTCAAATTAAACACTATAGTATTGCGTTCTCAAATATTTTCATCAATTGAACTATATTCCAATTGATTTTTATTTTTATTGCTTCCACTGCGATGTCAGAAGTTTCGTGCGTGCTTGGCGCACACATTGAAGGAAAATGGAAAATGTACATAGCTGTCCCCAGCTCCCACCCTCCGCCCACTCTCCTGCTCCTGGTGCTGCTCTTGCCCTACCATAGAAAATAAATAAATGCCGCACAATCGAAATCTAAACAAAGAGAGAGATATAAAAAATCTGCCAACTGCCGCACCAGCACTTCCCCAGAAGCCACACAAAGGGGAATTCAAAGTCCAAAATCCATAAATGCAATTCATATCTAAAGGAAGCTAAACATTATGTGTGGAATATAGGTTTGTTGCGAATCGTTTTTCAGGTTTTGTGCTCAAATCGATTGGGAAACTGGATTCCACTGGCAAGGGTTAAGTGCAATGATAAGGGCCCTATATTATAAATAAATGTAAATATTCCCCCATTCAATGTTTGCTTGAGTTTGAGCTTTTGACCTTATTAATGTCGGGGATTATTAGTCATTAAAAATTCTTTACTACTGTGCTATTTTATAATTGTTTTATCCCTAGGGTAGTGTAATAAAATTTAATCACTGTTATTAATTTACCCTAGGGATATTCCTTGCAATCTAATTCTGTAATATACAAGATTTGTATTACCTTCTGTCCGTTAAAAATCATATATCACCTTTATTGCAAGTCCAAATAAAATAATATATCTACATATAATTTTATTTTGGGCTTAATAAAAAGTGAATCACTTATCACTTGTGAGATATGTGGCCTTTGCTTTGGCACGCTTTATCGAAACTGAGTCACGAGCAACTTTTAAAAGACAAATCGCTTTCTAGTTAAATATTGCTACAAATATTTAAGTAGTCTATCAAACCATTGTTGGTTTTTAGATTTTATTTTTATTTTTATAATATTTAATAATAGCTTCAGAGAACCCCTGCTTAACGTTCTGATGTATGTAGTTTATAAAAAGCTCGCGTGCTTCATAAATCTTGCAGCCGAGACAGACAAATATTTTGCCAAGAAATGCCCGTTTATGTACTTCAACGTCAGTTTTTATCAAATCACACAGAGACAGCATCAACTGATTGCGAAGAAGAACGGAAACTAGACCAGATTTTCACTAACTACTTTAGTTTTTCTATAAAGTCAGAGCAAAGAAGTCACCGCCAGCAGAGCGGGTCAAGTGCGTCAGTTAAAGCCACAGCAAGTCAATCAATATGATTGAAGTAGGTACCACATTAATACAAACCCCATGCTCTAGCTCTCTCTCCTTTCCATCAAAGCGTTATCTATGACACTGGGTTTACCACTTACGCAATAAATGATTTGATATCGAAAGCACGGCATATGGTTACTGAAAATAATTGAGAATGCTGAAGCTCACCGTCATTGTTTCATGGTCACTGGGTTTCCGATAAGGACAGGGTCACCCCCTGGAGAAAAAATAATATTACTTAATTAACTGTGGAGAGCGTTAAAAACTCAAGTTTTACTGTTGCTTGTACTTTTCCATTGCAAGTTCAAAATGCTTAAAATCTATAAAAACAATAAGATAATTTGACTAAAAAAACATTTTCATTATACCTTATCTATCTCAAAATTATTTTAATGATTTAATTCAGTTGACCATGTAATCTAGAATGTTTCTTATCTGCTTAAACGATTGACACTTTAACTATTTTGGAAATAAAACTAGAAGGGTTTTTGCTTACTCAATTAACGAGATTACCTATAAACATTAAGTTCCTATTTTACGAATTCAATTTGAATTCAATTATTTAATTTGAAAAGTAAGGTACACAAAGAATATAATTTAATTGTAATTGTTTATTGGAGCTATAAATATCAACAAAAGAAAATTCCGTTGAAGCTACTAAGCCTAACAACTTAACACGGTGTAATTTTTTAAGGAAACCTAAATAGTTTTTTTTTTAAGTAGCCCCAATTTCCCTTTAAAATTTGTCATCCAAGGCAGATGGCAACGTGTTCTAGTTCGATTCTGTCTCTGTTTCTAGGTTAAAACATCGATTAATGAGCGCTGATGGAAGTGCCCGCGTTGCTGATAAGCAAAAGTGGACACTTTCGATAAGAAGTCGCCTGTGTGCGCTTTGCTTAGAGTACACAAATATTCCAGCTATATAATTATATACTATATATATTCGTCTACCCTTTCTAACTGGCTCCCTTTTCTGGGGGCTAATCTCGGTATGGTCATGTGCGATCAGGGCCATTGCATAAGCCATTCGGTTTGGGCCAATTGTGCACTTTGTAAGCGGTTCGCTGGTAGAACTAATGAGATCCCGTAACAACAATAAGCCAGGGGCATCACAATTAAACCGGATTCGAGGTGTTTGTTCTATATATTATAAGCTCACAATTTTTTTATGGATAAATACTTTAGTATTAGTCATTACTTTCGAAAAGTGAGCGAAAAATACGGAGTGGAGAGAGGCAATTACAATTCGTGTTTCGAGCTTTGCTAACTGAATTTTGGAGCTCAAATTGTGTAGAGTTGGTCATGAAATTTATAAATAAATTGACTGTTATATTTCGGAGAAGCTTAAGTTATAGTTGTTTTAAATATTATTAGGAATTTGTTGTTTATGTACTTGAAAACTGTCATTAAATATTAGTTACAAGCTTTGGTTTATTGTTTAAATGATGAATAGACATTTTACAAGCCAGGTTTTCTTTTCAAAATGAATTGTAAATAGAAGTCTTTTTAAATTAAAGGAAACCTTAAATGATTTATTTAAAATGTATCTAATAATTAGTACTTAGTTTCTTTGTAAGAAATGATACCAAAGTTTTAAATAGTCTGACATATATCTCTTATTTTCGATTCCCACGACCTTATTTAAAATGCTAATGCAATTGAGCCATTTGATCTCGGTGAGCCAGTGATCTTTTGATCTCCTTCTTGATTCTACACAAATGAAATATTCAATATGGATATTGATTTTCCTTGGCCAAGCATTGAACTTGACACTGAACAGAGAAAAAATCGGGGGAAGTACTTTTTACAAGAGTATGAGTATGACTTTGTGATGCAATACAGCTTTCAAAATATACGTCTGTATATTTTTGAGAGTTATTTGTTATTTTGACTGGGGGTAAATCCGGTTTATGAAGTTGCTTGCTTGGGTTTACGAAGTGCCATTTTATGGCTACTTAGCGGGAATTGTGTCAGTTGGTAACAAGCAAAAGACTGCAGCCAACAATATGCTATTCATGGTGGGGATTACTGTTAAACAACTTGAGCCAGCACAGTTGCTTTTAATCATTATTGTTTAAAGGTATTTCCATTAAGAAATAAATACATTTTTCAGTTGGGTCTGCTGCTTAAACTTCTCACTAATTTGTTATTAATAAATCTCTGTATACATGTGCCCTTGGCTTTTAATTATTCTATTATTATTTCTACTACAGTTAACTGTAGTCTTTGTAGTAGGTTGTAGTTGTTTGTTTTTTTTTTAACCGTGCTGGCCCAGACACTGGTCATAAAAGTTATCTACCATGAACCGATTATTATAGTTGATTATTAACTGTGCCAATGAAACGAATGACAAAAGCACAGAATAGCCTCTACAGTTATCCCATTTATCGCAAGTGTACATACGTTAGTTTATTGAGCACTTAGCAAGTGGCCACTGATAGATGATGAACATTTTCTCCCAGGAAAATACGTCAGAAGCATTAGACGCTGGCCAACACTGCGTATGCGTAATAAAAACTGATAGCCAATGCCTTTTCAGGGGAATTCTAAAGACGACACTGCGGTCACCAATGGAACGCATGTTTATCAAATAATTTAACCAATTAGCATTGCCTATGAAATCATTATTCATTATATAAATAACCGAAAATGTTCACGAATTTCTGGGGGGAACAATGGATGGCATTTAAAGAACACAGTCAGTGATGATCGATGCTTCAGTTAGCCAAAGTTCTCCAATGATACTGGATCGAAGGGGTTGTTAATTACTCGGTTTTTTATTAAGTTATCTAACCGCAATTGTGGAAAAATTCATGATTCTCTCGATTCAATGCTTGAGATTATAAGCTGCTGTTGTCTTAAGTGGATTCTCGAAAATTTTCCACAGCTTACTATCTCTTGATTGATCAAATTTTCGTTGGCTTTAAAAATTGAGTGATAAGACAAAAAACATATACTTGAAGATCTTTGTGAGATTGACAGTGTTTAGAGTGTTTTTAGAAGAATCAAAATATCTCATTTCCTTGGCCAATCAAGATAGTGCGACCTCAGAAAGGTTATTATTGATATTTAATTGTTATATATTTGTGCTTTTTAATTAAGTGATTTAATTTTTAATTCTTCTATTTTAGAAACCAAAAAACCATCTAAAATCCTTGTCCAAGGATGCCTGGAAGCGTTTAAAAGACTTGCATGATCGTCCAAATAGACGACGTCACTTACAAATACAGAGGAGTATTTCCCAGGATTATTTTACAGACAACAATGAAGCTGGCACCTTGTTAATACCCATTGTTCACGAAGATATACCGCCAAATCGATCAACTGGAACTATACCCAAGAAACCCAGAAAAAATCATTCAGATCCAGAGATTCAAAGTTGCCCAGTGTCTCGCTTCAGACAGTTGCAATTTCAACGTGATCTACGCATCCATCTCTATACAGACACAGACCCCAATGTGGAGCCTGACTGGAAGCCCAAGGACACAGAAGTAGAGGAAGAAATAACCAAAATGCCTAGTGATAAAGAAAGTCAAGAGTGAGTACTAATAAAAATCCCTCAATTTTATTTTATTTCATAAAACATTTAAATTTCTGCAGAACAAAACCACTGAACAATAACAACACAAATGGAAATGGCAGTGCGACGAGCAAGCCAAAGATCCAGCCAAAATACAGCATCCATCGGGATGTCCTGACCCACGAGGTGGTGATCAAGCAAACGGGCTATGCGGCTCGTGACAAGAGCATACCTTCCTCGTTGCGAAACTGCTGGCATACCTGGAGTTTCTTCTCGCTCTTTACCGGCGTAATTCCCATCCTGCAATGGCTACCCAAGTACTCGCCGAGAAGGGATTTACCTGGCGATATCATAGCTGGCTTCACTGTGGCCATTATGAACATACCACACGGCATGGCATATGGTCTGCTGGCGGGAGTATCCGCCGGAAATGGACTCTATATGGCCGTATTTCCGGTGCTAGTTTATATGTTCCTGGGCACCTCCAAGCACATCTCCATAGGCACCTTTGCGGTGGCTAGTATGATGACGCGGAAAGTGGTGGACACGTATTCCAATGTGGAGGATCATCCGCATTACGAGGTGTTGGCATCGAATGCCACAACGACGATGTCCCCGTTGGCTCTGCTTAATGCCACGGCTGCTGCATTTCCTGCGGATCCCATCACAAAGCTGGAGGTGGTCACCTCCTTAGCCCTCACTGTGGGAATTGTAAACGTAAGTACTTTGTAACTTGAAGATTATCCTATCCATTCCCATGACTCAAGTTTATCTCTTTCTTAGCTCCTAATGGCCTTTCTGAGACTGGGCACCTTGGCCTCCCTTCTGAGTGATCCTTTGGTCAATGGTTTTACCACGGCAGCAGCTTGTCACGTCGTCACCGCACAGCTTAAGGATGTGTTGGGCATTTCCGTGGCTCGTTACAAAGGCGCTTTCAAGATCATATACACGCTGATTGATGTCATCAAGGGTATACCTGAGACGAACCTGGTGAACTTTGGCTTCTGCGTGGGAGTCATAGTCTTTATGACGATCTGCAACGAGTGCCTGAAACCGTGCCTGAGCAAGCGTTGTCGGTTTCCGTTTCCCGCTGAATTGATAATGGTTATTGGTGGCACACTGATATCTAAATGGTTCAACATGCATGACGAGTTCGCTGTGAATCTGGTGGGAAATATACCCAGCGGTCTTCCGGAACCCATAATGCCACGTTTGGATTTGGTGTCCAAGGTAGCCGTGGACTCGATAGCTATTGCCGTTGTCACCTATTCCATTATCATGTCCATGGGTCTCACCTTTGCCAAGAAGCACGGCTATGAGGTGCGAGCAAATCAGGAACTATTTGCCATGGGCGTGGGCAACGTGGTAGGTGGATTCTTCTCCTGCATTCCCATGGCGTGTTCCTTGTCGCGATCTGTCATCCAGGATCAAACGGGTGGAGTGTCGCAGATTGCATCATTGGTCTCCGCCTCGCTGGTAGTAGTCACCCTAATGTGGATCGGTCCCTTCTTTAGCAGTTTGCCCAGAGTGAGTTTAGTACATATTTTTGGTGAAATCATTTCCTAATGTTTTATATTTTCAGTGTGTCCTAGCTGGCGTCATCATAGTGGCCCTGAAGCCCATGTTTATGCAGGCCAGGGAGCTGAAGAAGTTCTCCAAGCAAGGCAAACTGGAGATGTTCACCTGGATATCCACATTCCTCTGCGTGGTACTCATCGACATTGACATTGGGTATGCTTTAATACTTTCCTTTCCTTATGTTTTCTATAATAATTATTCAATTTCTTCCCTTTCAGTCTGCTGATAGGCATCTGCATCTCCCTGCTGGCCCTGTATATCAAGGGATTGAAGCCCTACTCCTGTCTGTTGGGCTATATGCCTGAGGCACCTGGTGTCTACATGGATCTCAACCAGCATAGGAATGCCATGCAAGTGCCGGAGACTCGCATTTTCCGGTACAGTGGATCCCTGAACTTTGCCACCAGTCTGTTCTTCCGACGGGCTCTGTACGAGGCAGTGGGTCTGGACAAGATTCCCCTCACCAAAACCAGCAGTAGTGACAGCAGCAAAAGTCCCAGCAAAGGCAGCAAATCGAGCTATTCTCCAGTGTCGCAGAATGGCGGCAAGGCTGTGAGTGTACAGTTTACGGAGTCCTCTTCTGGTGCCTTCAAGGTGCTCATCCTGGACTTTTCAATGCTTGGACACATTGATGTGGCTGGCTGTCGCACCCTCAGTGATGTGAGCAAGGAACTTAAGGCGCGGGGAGCCCGTCTGCTGCTGGCCAGTCCCGTGGATCGAGTGTACGATACCCTGGTACACAGTATGGCCTTAAGTGAAGGCCCCTTTGAGATCTTCCCCACGCTGCATGATTGTGTGGAGTATGCGAATGCCTGCCGAACGGCGTGAGAGGATGACACTGCTCCTGGATCTCCGGTAAACGGGGATTCCGGGGGCAAGTTCGAAGTTTTGTGATATGTCCAAGTGATAGCTTGTGAATCGTAGCACCAAAACCCCCTTCCTAGTTGCTAAAGACGTATACATATATTTTTTAGGAAACTGAATAGAAACAAAGTCGCCGTCTAAAATCAAGCAGATTAGGCTAAGTTCGTCTAAGTGCCTCCAAAACCCAAAATAAAGTTTTTTTGTACTTAATGCAAACACAAACAGAGCCCACCAGTCAAGGCAACCGATGAACTACAAACGATCAGGGATCGAGCGATCAATGATTTCGTGTAATTTGTACCAAAATGAACAATTCACACACACACACACAAGTAGCTTTTAAGGTTCATATACATATGTATGGAGATGTATAAACTGTACATAATTATTAAACTGAAATTGTTGTAATTTATTTGCTGTTATTATTGGTATTTTGCGGTTTTTATGCCATTTGTAAGTTTGCTCTGTTAAGATTGGATGTTTAAATATTTTAAAGCACACTTTTGGGCTGTGTTTGAGAGATACATTCCACAATGTGGACTGCAATTTACAGCAGGAAATAACTTCAGATACTTTTGGAGTTTCTACTGGAACTTTAACATATTTGTTATGTTTCTAATTCGAAATTTTATGTGCATTAAGTAAACAAAATATTATATAAAAATTTGTTCAGTTGTTTAGCCTTTTATCTTTAAAATTGAACTGTTTTAATGAGCTTCTAAATGTATAAAGTTTTCTTAAAGCGATAATTTGTAAGGGAAAAATGGGTTACATTTTTTAGATGTGCAGGGTATTATAATTTGGGTTTTTAAAAAACTTTGACTCACCCATAAAAATTGGCATATAAAAATATTGATTTAATTACATAGATTTCATATATTTTAAATTTTCTTGGAGGTATGCAAAGGCAAAAAAGCTAATTCAATTTCAAACTGCTAAGGTTTAACATCGGCGTGCCGAACTTAGATTCCTTTCTAATTCTACTACGAGATCCTTTGTTTTTGAATAAAGTATGTATACAGTAAAGTATAGTATAGTATACCTGCTAACATATAATACTCCTAACTTAATTAAATATATTCCCAGCAGGAAATGCCTGAAATGAACCGAGAAGACGGAATATTGAGCTCTAGACTGACGCACCCGCATCGCCACGTACAATCGCTGGAGCTGACACCGAGCAATTAGCGGGCACATGACTAAAGTCAAATTTATTTTATTTTTTTTGGCCAATTGTTTGTCCAAAATATCAGCTGTATGCGGACGGGAAGGAGGAATGCCCTTAGGCGGTGGCAAATAGGGAAAACAATTGTTCGGCCTAGCGGCTGATTAGCCATTATATGTAGTATGGCTCCTGGCCCGAGGCCACAGAATGCACTTGAAGCGGCGCACATGGGAAAACCTACACGACTTGAGTTGGTCAAGAGCTGAGAGTTGGTTGCGTTTTTTGTGGTTGTCTGTCCACCAAAACAATTGTCCAACCGCCAAGTTCGAATTACCCGAAGGTGACTTTTCCTTGATAAGAACAAAATTTGTATTTAATATATTGCTTTTTTAGGTCTGGGAACTGTTCAACTTTACAAGTGCATTTGATCATGAGTATAAACTCATTAATTTATTAATGGAATATGCTAATGATTGATTGAACTTAGATCTCGAGTTCAGATAATGGATGGGGGCATAAGTCGACATTTTGCATTTATAATCATGCTTATATCGTTGCTGGGAGTATTCCAAGGGTATCAAGAAGAATTTATTACATATTATAATCCAGAATTTTCAGAGATTTTGTCGTACAATTTAATTATTGTTTGCCCAAAACTGTTGTCATTTACTTGTAGCCTCCATCTTTGACTCATTCTAATCATTTTTAAGTGCTACAATTTAACGCTTTTGACGCTTCTCACCTTCGGAGAACTCAACGAGGCTTTCAAATCGCTCACACTAATCACATTTGAGATCGGAGTATGGGAGTGTGGGTATATCCATGTACACTGAGCAAAAGGTATAATAAACAATGATTTCTAATGAAATTTGTAAAGTATTATAAGCCACAAGAAGCCTTTTTTATTTACTAGTTTATGGATAATTAAATATCAAAATAGTATTTTCTAAATTAAAGAAAAACGAAGCCGAATGTCTTTACTATAAAATTGCTGGTAAGAAATATCTTACTTACTTTGAATAGACAGAATCTTCAGGTATTTGTAAATTGTAATTTATATGTTTAAAGTTTGAGTTTAACTAATATGTTAATATTATTTTAAGTATATTCCTATTCTGTATGGGTTTCCCTATAGAATTCATAGGAAATCTTACAGCTCTAAATAAGTTGGCTGGCTCAGTTTTTAATAATAATCTAGAACATCCTCATAAATTTTTCTGAGTGTCAAAATTGACTTGCTTAAAATCATATTAGAAATTATACATAATCTTAATGATACCTTGGGCACTTGAAGAGAGACATCCATACAACTCTAGTCTCCGCCTGAGATCATGTTTCAACCGTTTTTCGAGTTTTGTGCAATATTTTTATCACGACTCGAACTGCATACTCGTCGTATGTGGAAATTAATTTTATGGCAACTATAAAACGCAAAAGGTTCCCACAGCTAGTGTAAGATGCAAAATCAACAGGCAGAGTAATTGTTTTTCCAATTTTTTATTATTTATTTCTATTACTGCCATGCAACTTTGACAGTTACTGGCCTTTTTGAGGGGCTGTTTTCCGGGCGGGGTGATGTTTCTGTTAACACAGCCATAAAAGTGCTAAATAACCCAACAATTTGTGGAGCCAACCTCAACAACAAATAAAAACAAAAATACAAAAAATACAGAAAACAAATTGAACGTTTTTCAACCATGCCGACGACGATGGGTGTAAGTAAAGCTTGCTTCGGGGGTGGAGCTACCACCAACTCTGACCTTAGCTCCCAAAATTGCTTACAAAATTACTCAGTTGAACTCAGTCAAAACTATTTGTTTGGCCAACAACAAAATTAAGCCGTTAATGGCCGAAGGTTGTCCGTAAATGCAGGCCGTTAAATGCCAACCACAGTGGCAATTTAGGGAAGTAATGGAAGGCTTTATTCTAAGGATTAAATAAAAATATAAATAAACTACTTAAACTCAACTTAAATATATTACATTAAAAGAGATATGTCTCTAAGTATTTAATAAAAAATTTATTATGTAGGGACTACCCAAAAATATGAGAATAACCATAGAGTTCTTCTTAGAGATTAGCAATTATTTGTAGTAAAGTAGGCTAGTTTGATTCTATAAAATAAACTATGATTAAATAGTATAAGAAAATAAAGAGCTCTTTCTTAGTCGAAACTCGCAAATGTCGGACGTAGGATAATATTTTGTAAAGATATATTAACTTCGACTTCTCGAAATTAGTTTTTTTTCTTGTTTATTTTAAAGATAATTATTTGACTGACTAATAAAACCCTTATAAAGTATGAGCTAGTCCCAAACTGAATACCTTTTCCAGGGAAACACGAGCCACTGATCCGCCTGCTGCTCTAAGCATTTTATTTCATAAAAATTCTGATAATAAATATTAAGTTTCAATTGCTGATCTATGCTTAATTTTTACCTGAACAAAGCCCCTGGCTGTGGAAGGAAGTGTGGTACGAAGGCGAACAAATTTTGTTTGCTTAGCATATTTTCACATGGCAGAATCGAACAAAAAAAAATAGATAAAACATAAAGTAAACTAGATGAATCAATAAGAGAGAAGTACGAAAAAACATTCAGAAATATTTGCGGTTTGTAAGCCAGCAGTCTTTCTTGCTCTTTCCCGCTAAGCTAAGCCGCTGCTCAAGTCGAAATTGTTGTAATTTCGAGAAGCACGAAGCCAGAAAAAGCCCAACAACGAAGCTCTTTGTGAGCGAAAATAATAAAAAACCGATCGCCAAGACTGTTCCCACAACCAGTTTCAAGCCATCCACCGAGCGGAGGAGTCGTCGCCAACCGCCATTCCCCAAATCGCCTCAAAGTCGCTCTTTCCCATCCACGCGCCCCCTGTAAGCCTAGCTGAAAACTTATAAAAACAACACTGTTTAAATTAAGAAAAATAAAAACACCAAGTGTATATATTATAAAGATACCTGAACCTTAAGGATAAACCCCAGCAAGGATATATAGTGTCCGCCTAGGCGTAATTGTGACGTAACTTGAAAAGCAAATGCGAAAAGCAAGGCGGCTGGAAAAAAAAAGTGGTTTGCCATGGGAGAACTGCAATTGACAATAACACAGCCGCAGCAGCAACAATCGAAAAATAAAACAAAATAAAAACTCAATAACAATTATCAACTGCTACGAGTGACGCTTAAAACAAATGCAAGAAACCTGTATTAAATATATATAAAAATAAGAGAGACATTATTAACGAATATTGCACAAATTGCCATGGCAAGCTCTAGCTATCTGAATGAAACGAATTGGAGCCATGAAAACCAAACAAAAACTTGTTAAATTAATAAACAAATAGGGTTTTTTAAACACCAAAGAAAAAGAAAGTTATTTGTAAATAAAAAACAAGACCTACTATAAGTCTGCAGGAATTAAATCAAAGATTATGTTTTAGTTTCAATGGAAATTAAACTCATGCCTTCAAGGTGTCTTACCATTATTATAAATAATAATCAAATAATCTATGGCCACAAATCAATTCATTTCTAATTTATCCTTGAAAATATACTTGCTTAACTTTTACAAAAAAATATCTAAAAATAATGTTAGGCACAAATAAATTGCTTAAAATTAATTTCCCTTTTATGTTTTGCGTTTGTTTTTCATGTCTAGCCTACTACTAATTCCCAACTGCTAAAGTTTCTGTGCAGTCAAGTGCAACCAAAATAAGTTTAGCTAAGCTAAGCTTGTTTTTGTTTTGTTTTGTTTTGCAAAAAAAAAACCACAACTTAGAGGCAATTTACATACACTGAAGCTGGGAAAAGAAAACCGCCAAAATTGGTTACCTAACGAAAACTTCGTTTGTGCTACGGGACGGCAAACTTGTGAGTATATTGTTGTTCATTAAGACATTGTATTAAATTAAGTTAAGTTATGTTATGCTTGTTTACAGGGAAATATAATCCAAGCGCAGGCTTATTTTATTGAATTTTTATACGTATTACTTATACATTGATCTTGCTTTCTTTGAGAAATATAGCATATCTATTTATAATTTTGTTTATAACTTAAAAGGAAATTATTATATTATATTTAATTTTGAAATATCAAAGAATATATAATATAAATACTTCATTATTTAAACTATTATATATTAAAACGTTTCCGAAAAGGTTAAGCTTTATATGTAATTTAGCCATATGTACTCAAAAAAGGTATTTTTTGGTTAAGCAAAAACGAAACATAAGAAGGCTTTAGTTTGATATAATATATTATTCATTCTACAAGGAATCTTGGTTTATCTATGATTATTCTAAATTTCCTAAAATCTTTCCTTTTTAAATTTGCTATTATGATGTGTAGCACGTAGAGTTAGAACAATTACCATAAACTTAATTGGTTTCAGTTAACAAGCAGCACATATAGTGAGTCGTCATTAATGGCGACTTTCAGATGACTTACTGTCATCTCAGGCACGATTCCCTGGGTCATGATAACGTCGTCCAATGAAAAATAGTGAATATTCAGACAGTGTGAGAATATTTCTGTTTTGTTTTTAATAACACCCCCGCCAATTACCTGGCTTACTCTACCTGCAACTTTGCGGCGACTTATTTGTATTTGGCGAGAATAATGCTCGAAATGAGATGTCGCTTAGTTTGGGAGAAGGGAGGCGGGATTCGCTGGCTTAGCCTGCAATTACATTTAATTAGCATTTAGAGAACATCGCAGTTCGCCGATCTGACTCAGAGATGGGGCGGCAACTCGTAAATAAGGTACTCTAATTAGCCAGGCTATTACTTTGATTTACTTGATTTGATCGTCGGGATTCGTCACGAAAAGAGAACCCTTGAAGTGTACGTAAGCGGCCAAAGTGTCATTTTTAAGAGCCGTAACTAACCAAAGCCCACCGAAAGCTAACGCAGTCGGAGCCGATAATGAACGCTTGTCTAGGCCCATTGCGTTGGTTGCCGCTCACAAAAGTGGGTCATGGTTAAGAGTACTTTGGCTCAAACCCGGCTCCGACTCCGACTACGACTCTGAAGCGCTGCCTAAAGCTGAAGCTCAGTCACAACCTCAACCGCAGCTGCGCATGCGCAGTAGTCTCTCCCAGCTTAGATTGTGATTAGTCAGCTATCAGATATCGAAAGATAATTCCAATTTAATTGTGATAATGTATAAATTATTCTTTAAATTGATTAGAATTATGCTCGAGTATTGTCTGTTAGTATACCTTTTTGCTGGGTATTATAAAAGATAAGGGGTTAAATCGATAAAATTTTATAAATTCGACAAAAAATCAAATTTATTCGCTTTAAAAATTGAAATATTTAAAGTCTTTATGATTCGTTCTTAAAATCATAATAAACTCATACTAAAATTTAAAGGACTAAACAATAGGAATTAATATTTATTTAGAATTGAGATACTCACAACTTGGCTGGAAAAAAAAATAGAACAGATTACACCTATAATACTCACCATAATATTCCATAAATTAAGCAAATAATAATTCCAATATAATTGTGATACTGTATTAATTAGTCTTTATTTTCACTGGGGCCTTAAATAATATGTTTACAAACTTAAGGAACTAAAAATAAACAATTATCTTAAAATAATTTTATTAGTACTATTATTATTATTGTTATTATTATTACCTATTCAATAATCCATGTCTTTGTTTACCATTTAGAGCATCTCGATCCTCCGCATCATCTCCTCTCCCAAATCCTTTTGCATCATTATCCCTGCATAAAAAATACCTTTTGGGATTCGTCACCTATAAAAAAAAGTAAAAACAACATTAATATTATATTGAAAAGGTAATAATCTTTTAATAATATATAAATACCATTTTGCAGGAAGACGATATGGGCTTCAGTTCCCGTATGGACTGCTGCGGGCAGTTTGTCAAGTACAGTCTGTTTATAGCCAATTTTGTTATATTTGTGAGTATACCTTGAAAGATTTTAATGGTTTTTAAAAGGAAATGTAATTTATAATGCACACTTACTGTATTTTTAGGTTGGTGGAGCCATCGTCTTCTGCCTGACATTATGGACTCTGGTGGATCGTAGTTTCGTGAATGAATTGCTTGGAACAAATCTCTTCTCGGGAGCTGTCTATGTGCTGCTGGTTACCTCGATCATCATCTGCCTGGTGTCCTTTTTGGGTTGTGTAGGTGCTGGAAAAGAGGTCAAATGTCTGCTTTTAACGGTGAGTTAAAGGAATTGGTTAGATTCAGATTTATTTGATACGTACCCCTATTTTCCCTTTCTCTTAAATGAAGCCATAGCCTCTTAACATGTCCATTATTATTTCTCACTTACTTGCAGTATTTCATAATCGTGGCACTGGTTTTCGTCACCATGCTAATTGGCGGCGTCTTGGGTTATGTGTTTCGTGAGCGAGTGCAACAGACTATGCGGCAGGTGAGGCAGATCCCTATTCTTCCCGACCAAGACACACCTCTGAAACAACCTCGTTTTCCCTTTAGGAAATGAGATCCACTATGGCTTTGTATGGCAGCCGGAGGGAGATTACCCAGGCCTGGGATCTCACCCAGGAGCGTCTGCAGTGCTGCGGTGTGGATACGTGGCACGATTGGAACCGCTATGGACCCGTGCCCGAGTCCTGCTGCCAGGAGCTGTTTGGAGGACAGCGCAAGGAGTGCACCATCTTTCCCACCATCACGAATCTGTACAACCAGGGCTGTCTCTATGTGACGACCAACTTCATCAGGGATCATGCGGCGGTTATAGGAGGCACTTCTATAGCGGTGGCCATTCTTATGGTAACTTATCCGCCTTCAATTTAATTAACTTAAATTAATTTTATATCTTTTCTTATTCCAGATCTTTGGCATGATATTCTCCTGTCTACTATTCAATATGATCGAATAGCGCCAAAGAGCAGGGGAATCCGCTGGCCAGGCAGAAAAGGCGGCCACTCACGATGTCCAAAGTCCCGAGGAGACCCATTTTTGAATGTTTCACTTCCGCTGGAGTTGTCTTAAGAGTATTATCCGAGTGTACGATATATAAGGTTGACCCTAAGCTGGCCAACTGTCTGTTTGTATTATGTATGTATATACGTGATTAGATACGCCTATCTAGTGAGTATTCATGTTGAGTAACCGATCGTATTGTTATCATCTGTTGCATAATCTTGTATTATTTTTATATAAATCTGTAAAATTAGACATAAGGTCCCATAATCAATACCCCAAATGCAATTGTTAGTTTTAAGTGAGCATTTTCATTGCTTCTAGAGAATATAGATTTCTGTCCATTGTTGTTTCTAATAAAATTAGTTGAAAACTTGTGAATTGGAGATTTATGATTTGAAATAATAAAGTAACGTCTAAAGGAGGACCTATACAAGTCATACGATTTAAGATTAGTTTCTATTTTTTAAACTTATACTTCGTAGTATACTTCATGGCTTCATTTATTAAAACTTTAAAAATCGTATTCTGGTTAAGTATATTAATGAAATAATCAACCATAGGATAAGTAAAATTAGTCTCTGCTATTAATCAAGTTTTAATTTTGCATTAAGACCAGTTGTTCGAAACGGCATATCATAATAAACAAACGATGATAATACATTGTTGATATATAGTCAGGAATTGTCGGTTTATTATAAATTTATATAAAATTATAATACCCAGAAAAAAGGTATAAAAACAAGCAATTTTTTTTAGAAATTCAGCGTTTTTCAAACAACATAATTAAGCCAAAAATGCGTTATTTTCAAATCGGAAATATATTCTGTGCTATTTTTTTTTATAGGGTCGGAAATGATTCCTTCATTAGGTTATAAGCTTTTGATTAATACTAAGACCCTGCAAAAAGGTATAAAAACGACAAATTTTTTAAAATAGTCAGTGTTTTTGAAACTTTGTAATTAAGCCAAAAATGCATTAATTTTTATTCGGAAAGATGCTCTATACTAGTTTTTATAGCGCTAACAAATCTGCTCACTGCATTTGTTGATGCTGTTAAAAGATTTTGACTAAAATTATAATACTCAGAAAAAAGGTATAAAAACAGGCAATTTTTTTAGAAATTCATCGTTTTTCAAACACCATAATTAAGCCAAAAATGAGTTATTTTCAATTCGGAAAGCTGTTCTGTGCTAGTTTTTATAGCGCTAACAAATCTGCATACTGCGTTTTTAAATTTTAAAAATTCAATTTTTTGTCGAATTTTGCCAATTTTAATGATGTAACCCCTTATCTTTTTTTCAAATTTCGGAAAAAATTAAAAAATTTATTTTTCCACTAGACATGGCTAGATCGATTCAGCTGTTCATTCTGATCAAGAATATATATGATTTATGGGGTCAGAAATGGTTCCTTCATTGTGTTATAAGCTTTTGATTAATACTAAGACCCTGCAAAAAGGTATAAAAACAGTCAATTTTTTAAAATAATCAGTGTTTTTCAAACTTCGTAATTAAGCCAAAAATGCATTAATTTTAAATCGGAAAGCTGCTCTATACTAGTTTTTATAGTGCTAACAAATCTGCATACTGCGTTTGTTGATGCTGTTAAAAGATTTTGACTAAAATTATAATACCCAGAAAAAAAGTATAAAAACAGGCAATTTTTTTAGAAATTCATCGTTTTTCAAACATCATAATTAAGCCAAAAATGCGTTATTTTCAATTCGGAAAGCTGTTCTGTGCTAGTTTTTATAGCGCTAACAAATCTGCATACTGCGTTTTTAAATTTTAAAAATTCAATTTTTTGTCGAATTTTGCCAATTTTAATGATGTAACCCCTTATCTTTTTTTCAAATTTCGGAAAAAATTAAAAAATTTATTTTTCCACTAGACATGGCTAGATCGATTCAGCTGTTCATTCTGATCAAGAATAAATATGATTTATGGGGTCGGAAATGATTCCTTCATTGTGTTATAAGCTTCTGATTAATAGTAAGACTCTGCAAAAAGGTATAAAAACAGGCAATTTTTTAAAATAATCAGTGTTTTTCAAACTTCGTAATTAAGCCAAAAATGCATTTATTTTAAATCGGAAAGCTGCTCTATACTAGTTTTTATAGCGCTAACAAATCTGCATACTGCGTTTGTTGATGCTGTTAAAAGATTTTGACTAAAATTATAATACCCAGAAAAAAGGTATAAAAACAGGCAATTTTTTTAGAAATTCAGCGTTTTTCAAACATCATAATTAAGCCAAAAATGCGTTATTTTCAATTCGGAAAGCTGTTCTGTGCTAGTTTTTATAGCGCTAACAAATCTGCATACTGCGTTTTTAAATTTTAAAAATTCAATTTTTTGTCGAATTTTTCCAATTTTAATGATGTAACCCCTTATCTTTTTTTCAAATTTCGGAAAAAATTAAAAAATTTATTTTTCCACTAGACATGGCTAGATCGATTCAGCCGTTCATTCTGATCAAGAATATATATGATTTATGGGCTCGGAAATGATTCCTTCATTGTGTTATAAGCTTCTGATTAATAGTAAGACTCTGCAAAAAGGTATAAAAACAGGCAATTTTTTAAAATAATCAGTGTTTTTCAAACTTCGTAATTAAGCCAAAAATGCATTTATTTTAAATCGGAAAGCTGCTCTATACTAGTTTTTATAGCGCTAACAAATCTGCATACTGCGTTTGTTGATGCTGTTAAAAGATTTTGACTAAAATTATAATACCCAGAAAAAGGTATAAAAACAGGCAATTTTTTTAGAAATTCAGCGTTTTTCAAACATCATAATTAAGCCAAAAATGCGTTATTTTCAATTCGGAAAGCTGTTCTGTGCTAGTTTTTATAGCGCTAACAAATCTGCATACTGCGTTTTTAAATTTTAAAAATTCAATTTTTTGTCAATTTTCCAATTTTAATGATGTAACCCCTTATCTTTTTTTCAAATTTCGGAAAAAATTAAAAAATTTATTTTTCCACTAGACATGGCTAGATCGATTCAGCTGTTCATTCTGATCAAGAATATATATGATTTATGGGCTCGGAAATGATTCCTTCATTGTGTTATAAGCTTCTGATTAATAGTAAGGCCCTGCAAAAAGGTATAAAAACAGGCAATTTTTTAAAATAATCAGTGTTTTTCAAACTTCGTAATTAAGCCAAAAATGCATTAATTTTAAATCGGACAGCTGCTCTATACTAGTTTTTATAGCGCTAACAAATCTGCATACTGCGTTTGTTGATGCTGTTAAAAGATTTTGACTAAAATTATAATACCCAGAAAAAAGGTATAAAAACAGGCAATTTTTTAAAAAAATCATCGTTTTTCAAACACCATAATTAAGCCAAAAATGCGTTATTTTCAATTCGGAAAGCTGTTTTGTGCTAGTTTTTATATCGCTAACAAATCTGCATACTGCGTTTTTAAATTTTAAAAATTCAATTTTTTGTCGAATTTTGCCAATTTTAATGATGTAACCCCTTATCTTTTTTTCAAATTTCGGAAAAAATTAAAAAATTTATTTTTCCACTAGACATGGCTAGATCGATTCAGCCGTTCATTCTGATCAAGAATATATATGATTTATGGGCTCGGAAATGATTCCTTCATTGTGTTATAAGCTTCTGATTAATAGTAAGACCCTGCAAAAAGGTATAAAAACAGGCAATTTTTTAAAATAATCAGTGTTTTTCAAACTTCGTAATTAAGCCAAAAATGCATTAATTTTAAATCGGACAGCTGCTCTATACTAGTTTTTATAGCGCTAACAAATCTGCATACTGCGTTTGTTGATGCTGTTAAAAGATTTTGACTAAAATTATAATACCCAGAAAAAGGTATAAAAACAGGCAATTTTTTTAGAAATTCATCGTTTTTCAAACATCATAATTAAGCCAAAAATGCGTTATTTTCAATTCGGAAAGCTGTTCTGTGCTAGTTTTTATAGCGCTAACAAATCTGCATACTGCGTTTTTAAATTTTAAAAATTCAATTTTTTGTCGAATTTTGCCAATTTTAATGATGTAACCCCTTATCTTTTTTCAAATTTCGGAAAAAATTAAAAAATTTATTTTTCCACTAGACATGGCTAGATCGATTCAGCCGTTCATTCTGATCAAGAATATATATGATTTATGGGCTCGGAAATGATTCCTTCATTGTGTTATAAGCTTCTGATTAATAGTAAGACCCTGCAAAAAGGTATAAAAACAGTCAATTTTTTAAAATAATCAGTGTTTTTCAAACTTCGTAATTAAGCCAAAAATGCATTAATTTTAAATCGGACAGCTGCTCTATACTAGTTTTTATAGCGCTAACAAATCTGCATACTGCGTTTGTTGATGCTGTTAAAAGATTTTGACTAAAATTATAATACCCAGAAAAAAGGTATAAAAACAGACAATTTTTTTAGAAATTCAGCGTTTTTCAAACATCATAATTAAGCCAAAAATGCGTTATTTTCAATTCGGAAAGCTGTTCTGTGCTAGTTTTTATAGCGCTAACAAATCTGCATACTGCGTTTTTAAATTTTAAAAATTCAATTTTTGTCGAATTTTGCCAATTTAATGATGTAACCCCTTATCTTTTTTTTCAAATTTCGGAAAAAATTAAAAAATTTATTTTTCCACTAGACATGGCTAGATCGATTCAGCCGTTCATTCTGATCAAGAATATATATGATTTATGGGCTCGGAAATGATTCCTTCATTGTGTTATAAGCTTCAGATTAATAGTAAGACCCTGCAAAAAGGTATAAAAACAGGCAATTTTTTAAAATAATCAGTGTTTTTCAAACTTCGTAATTAAGCCAAAAATGCATTAATTTTAAATCGGACAGCTGCTCTATACTAGTTTTTATAGCGCTAACAAATCTGCATACTGCGTTTGTTGATGCTGTTAAAAGATTTTGACTAAAATTATAATACCCAGAAAAAAGGTATAAAACAGGCAATTTTTTTAGAAATTCATCGTTTTTCAAACATCATAATTAAGCCAAAAATGCGTTATTTTCAATTCGGAAAGCTGTTCTGTGCTAGTTTTTATAGCGCTAACAAATCTGCATACTGCGTTTTTAAATTTTAAAAATTCAATTTTTTGTCGAATTTTGCCAATTTTAATGATGTAACCTCTTATCTTTTTTTCAAATTTCGGAAAAAATTAAAAAATTTATTTTTCCACTAGACATGGCTAGATCGATTTAGCTGTTCATTCTGATCAAGAATATATATGATTTATGGGCTCGGAAATGATTCCTTCATTGTGTTATAAGCTTCTGATTAATAGTAAGACCCTGCAAAAAGGTATAAAAACAGGCAATTTTTTAAAATAATCAGTGTTTTTCAAACTTCGTAATTAAGCCAAAAATGCGTTATTTTCAATTCGGAAAGCTGTTCTGTGCTAGTTTTTATAGCGCTAACAAATCTGCATAC